ATCATCAGCATCATCATCAGCATCATCAGCATGGTTAACATCAGCATCATCAGCAGCAGCATCATCATCATCATCCGCATCAGCATCATCATCATCAGCAGCAGCATCAGCATTCTCATCACAATCATCACAATCATCATCATCATCATCATCACCATCACCAGCAGCAGCAGCATCATCATTATCATCGTCATCGTCATCGTCACCGTCATCAACATCATCATCAGCAGCATCATCATCACCATCACCACCACCATCACCATCATCACCATCATGATAATCAGCATCATCAGCAGCAGCATCAGCGTCGTGATCATCATCATCATCATCATCAGCAGCATCAGCATCATCATCATCATCATCATCATCATCATCATCATCATCATCATCTTCATCATCATCGTAATCAGCATGATTATCATCATCAACATCATCATCATAATCATGATCATAAGCAGCAGCATCGTCATCAGCTTCATCATGATCGTCAGCATCATCAGACTCATCATCATCATCATCATCATCATCATCATCATCATCATCATCATCATCATCGGAATCAGTATCATCATTACAATTATCATCCGCATCATCATCAGCATCATCATCGTCATCAACATACTCAGAATCCTCAGCAGCATCATCATCACACTCCGCATCATCAACAGCGTCACCAGCATCAGCGACATCATCACCATCATCATCATCATCATCATCATCATCATCATCATCATGATCAGCAGCATCATCGTCATCATCAGCATCGTCAGCAGCATCAGCATCATCATAATCAGCAGCAGCAGCATCATCAGCAGCAGCATCACCATCATCATCATCATCGTCATCATCGTCATCATCATCGTCCACATCATCATCAGCAGCATCATCATCCTTATCAGCATCATCGCCATCATCATCATCAGCATGAGCATCATCAGCCGCATCATCATCATCATCATCATCATCATCATCATCATCATCATCATCATCATCAGCACCACCACCAGCATCGGCATCATGAGCATCATCATCACCACCACCATAACATTCATCATCAGCAGCATCAGCATCAGCATCAGCAGCATCATCAGCATCATCATGCTCACCATCGTCATGAACACAATCAGCAGCATTATCATCATCCGCAGCAGCTTCAGCGGCATCGTAAGCATCAGCATGAGCATCATCATCATCATAGACAGCATCATCATTATCGTCAGTACCATCGAATTGACAGCAGCATCATCATCAGCAGCATCGTCATGAACATCAGCATCGTAATCAGCATCATCACCACCATCACCATGATCACCCGCATCAGCACCAGCGTCAGCATCATCATAATCATCAGCATCGTCATCATCAGCATCAGCAACATCATCATCAGCAGCAACCGCGACATCATCGTCATCATTCGCATCGCCATCCCCATCCTCATCATCGTCGTCATCAGCATCGTCGTCACCATCGTCATCATCAGCGACAGCGGCATCGTCATTGTACTCGGCATCGTCATCACCAGCGTCCCCAACGCCACCAACATCATCACCGTCATCATCATGAACATGAGCAGGATCGCCATGATCATCACCATAAACCTCCCAAAATCTCCCAGGACCTCCTGAGACCGCTGAGGAGCGCAGAGGACCGCCGAAAAACAATCGAAAACACAGAGAACCCCCCCAGGGCGTGATCTCCTCCAGACAGTTCCCAAATCGCCCGCCGACAAATCGCCTCCGATCTCATTATTATCCCCTCTTCCTCCTAAACCCCATCCTCATCGTCCTCCTCCTCCTTCTCGTTCTCCTCCTCCTCCTCCTCCTGATCATCCTCCTCCTCCTCCTCCTCCGACTCCGACTCCGACTCTTCTTCCTCCTGCCCCTCCTCCTCCAAATCCTCATCCTCCTCCTCCTCACCCTCCTCCTCCGCCGCTTCGTTCTCATCCTCCTCCTCCTCCTCCTCCTCCTCATCCTCCTCCTCCTTCTCCTCATCCACCTCCCCCTCCTCCTCCTCCTCCTCATCCCTCTCCTCCTCCTCCTCCTCCTCCTCCTCTTCCTTCTCACCCTCCTGGTCCATATCCTCCTCCTGTTCCTCCTCTTCCTCCTCCTCGTCCGCCTCTTCCTGATCCTCAACATCCTCCTCCCAATCATCATCATCATCATCATCATCATCATCATCATCATCATCATCATCATCATCATCATCATCATCATCATCATCATCATCATCATCATCATCATCATCATCATAATCATAATCATCATCATCATCATCATCATCACCATCATCATCATCATCATCCTAATCCTCATCCTCATCCTCATCCTCATCATCATCATCATCAGCATCAGCATCAGCATCTTCATCATCATCAGCAGCATCATCATCATCTTCATCATCATCATAATCAGCATCATCATCATCATCATCAGCCTCATCCTCGGCATCATCATCATCAGCAGCAGCAGCATCAGCATCGTCATCATCATCATCGTCGTCGTCGTCATCAGCTGCAGCATCATTAGCATCATCATCATCAGCAGCAGCATCATCGACATACTTATCATCATCATCAGCATTAGCTGTCGCATCATGATCAGCAGCAACAGCATTATCATGTTCATCAGCATCAGCATCATCATCAGCAGCAGCATCATCAGCAGCATCAGCATCATCATCAGCAGCAGCATCGTGATTATCATCATCAGCACCAGCATCATCATCAGCAGCATCATCAGCGGCAGCATCATCACAATCAGCATCATCGACAGCACCATCATCATCAGTCGCATCAGCAGCATCAGCATTATAAGCATCAGCATCATCCTCATTAGTATCACCATCATCGTTATCATCAGCATCATTAGCAGCATCATCATCATAATCATCATCATCATCATCATCAGCATCATCATCATCATCATCATCGGCGTCATCATCATCATCAGCAGCAGCATCAGCATCGTCATCATCATCATCATCATCATCATCATCGTCGTCGTCATCATCATCATCAGCAGCAGCATCGTTAGCATCATCATGATCATCAACAGCATCATCAACATCCTTATCATCATCAGCATTAGCTGCCGCATCATGATCAGCAGCAACAGCATCATCATGTTCATCAGCATCAGCATCATCATCAGCAGCATCAGCATCAGCATCATCAGCATCATCACCAGCAGCATCATCGTGCTTATCATCATCAGTACCAGCATCATCATCAGCAGCATCATCATCAGCAGCATCATCATCAGCAGCAGCATCATCACAATCAGCATCATCGACAGCAGCATCATCATCAGTCGCATCAGCAGCATCAGCATTATCAGCATCAGCAGCATCATCATTAGTATCACCATCATCGTTATCATCAGCATCAGCACCAGCATCACCATCGTCATGATCATCATCATCACCATCAGCATCATCATATGGAACCATCATCATCAGCAGCAGCATCAGCATCATCATCATCATCATCATCATCATCAGCAGCATCCTCATCATCATCAGCATCGTCATCGTAATCATCATGATCATCATGATCATCATCATCATCATCATCAGCATCATCATCATCATAATCATCATCATCATCATCATCATCACCATCGGCATCACCATCATCATCCGCATCTTCATCGGCATCAGCAAAATCAGCATCATCAGCATATTCACCGTCACATTCATCCTCATCATCATCGTCATCAGCATCATAGACAGCATCATCATCCTCATCATCAGCATCATCAGCATGATCAGCGGCAACATCATCACCAGCATCAACATCAGCATCATCATCAGCATCATCGACAACATCATCATCATCAGCAGCATCGTCGTCGTAATCATCGTCATCATCGCCATCATCATTATCAGCATCACCATCATCCATCTTTAGCATCAGCAGCAGCATCATCATCATCAGCAACAGCAGCATGATCAGCAGCCTCATCACCATCATCATCAGCATCATCAGCATCTTCATCATCATCATCATCGTCAGCATGTTCATCATCATCATCATCATCATCAGCTGCCGCATCATCATCAGCATCATCATCGTCATCATCGTCATCACATCATCGTCATCGTCACCATCATCATCATCAGAATCATGATCGTCATCAACATCGTCATCGTCACCATCATCAACAACAACGTCAACATCCTCATCAGCATCCCCAGCATCATCACCATCGTCAGCATCATCATGTCATCAGCATCATCATCATCGTCAGTATCACCACCCTCATCGTCAGCAGCAGCATCATCATCATCAGCATCATCACCAACATCATCATACAAGATCGTCACCATTGTCATCATCATATTCATCATCCGCATCGCCATCAACAGTAGCATCAGCATCATCATCATCGTCATCATCAGTATCATCATCATCATCATCATCATCATAATCATCAGCAGCAGCATCGTCATCATCATCAACCTCATCAGCATCATCATCATCATCATCATAATCATCATCATCATCACCATCACCATCACCACCATCATCATCATCATCATCATCATCATCATCATCATCATCATCATCATCATTATCATCATCATCGTCATCGTCATCGTCACCGTCACAGTCACCGTCACCACCACCACCGTCATCATCATCCACCTGCCTTATTACCCCTCTTCCCCGCATGTTCCGCCTCATCCGGCGACGACGGCGCGACAACGACCAGGACGGCGACGAAGACAAAGACGACGACAGAGCCGAAGACGAAAACGACGAATGTGAGCACAATCTGTGCGCTGCGAGAAACTGCGAAGACCTTCCGACAACCGGAAAGAACCTCCGAGGACTGCAGGGGACCGCCGAGAAGACCGCGGAGAAGACCGCCGAGTACCGCCGTGAGAACCGCCGAGAGAGCCGCCGAGAAAACCACCGAGGACCGTCGGGGACCTCCGCGAAGACTTCCGCGAGAGCGCCGAGAGTCTTCCCGAATGCGGTCAGTGCGCTCCCGAAGGGCCTGGCGGTTGTCCTGCGGATTGAAGGACACGTCCATCAGCACGACCACGTCGGCGGCGGTCAGATTGAGGCCCGTGCCGCCGGCCTTCCCGAAGGGCAGGAAGGAGAGGAGGAGGAGGAGGAGGAGGAGGAGGAGGAGGAGGAGCAGAAGACTCACTTCTCCCCCCATCACTCCTGCGTTTCCTCTCCGAGCAGCTTGGCACGTGCGCGTGCGGCTGCCGCTGTCCCCCGTCGCTCGCCGCCGCCGCCGTCTCCTCCGCCGTCGTCCGCCGCCCTCATCTTGTCTGCTGGCAGTGCGCACAAGGGGGTGGAGGGGGGGGAGGGTTTCTTAGAAGGAGGCTGCTTCTTAGAAGGCGCCAGCCTTACGTCTATAGATAAGGCCCGCGCCTTCTAAGAAGCAGGGGTGCTTCTAAGACGCCCTCCCCCCTCCCCCCACCCCCCTCTGCGCGTGGCTGAGTCTGGTCGTGCTGGCACGGAGGCAGCATCCGTCCCAGGCCTCTGGGCGTAGCAGCAGCCCCTGGGGAGACGTCTGGTTCAGGCCAGACTCAGACGCTGCCGAGGTCCAAGGGCCTTCGAGCCAGTCCAATCAGAGCGTCAGCGCGGTGCGGCTTCTGGCTCGCCCCTCCTCGTCCCTCCTCCGGACATCTCCGAAAACCATGTGGAACACCTCCGAGAGCATCATTCCTCCTCCTCCTCCAGCTCCTCCTCCTCCTCCTCCCTCCCTCCCTCCCTCACCCGTCCATCCCTCGGCCTTCATGGAGAGCAGGAAGACGTCCACCCCGGAGCCCTTGGCCTGGAAGTTCTGCATCACCTCTGGCCGGTCCTCGATCTTGGTCCCACCGTCCAGCCTTGGCGCCGTTGCCGGTTGGCCACGCGTTTAAGCCGCCTCTGGGCCGCGGTTAAGCCGCGCGTGGTTGGCGGTTAGACCGCGCTCGGGCTGCGCTTGGCCCTGTTGGACCGCAACTGGACCGCATTTGCGTCGCGGGCCATTAGCAACCAAACAGGCCCTGCCCCCCCCCCCCCCAAAAAAAAGTCCCTCACGCTGTCGGAATTGGCTGCTAGCAGTACCGATGGCCTCTTGTTGGCCCGGGCAGTGCCTGTTTGGTTGCTCCTGGGGGCCCCGGGCTCTCCCTCGTGGCGGCCGATCGACCGCGAAGCGCCTGGCGTACATGAAGCCCTCGGCGCTCAGCGCCTCGCCGATGACGTCCAGGTACTCCGTGAACTGGGAGAACACCAGCGTCTTGGCCCCCGCCTCGCGCTGCTTGCGCAGCAGCCGGATCAGCTCCTCGAGGAGATACTGATTGCACCCGCCAGTCGGAAGAAGTAGGTGGATACATGAAGTAGGAGGGCAGATATAGAGTAGATGGGATCCGGGCCCGCCCAAAGAGCAGCAACAAAAACAACAAAACACAAAACAGATCAAGTATTTAAGGTTAGGAAGGCGCTCGAAGTGGATTAATCCGAACATCCACCCTCATAATAGTCACCCCGACACGCGAAGTCGCTTAGTAAACGCACCCAGGGAAGGAATCAAGCAGGGCAGGGCTGTTCAGTAAACGCCCAGGGCCGCTTAGTAAACGACACACATTGTCGGGTCCGGGTGGTTCTGCCTCACTTGAGGATTGGAATCCAGGAGTCCAGACCTTCCCCCTTTTCAACGACCAGCGGGCACGCGTGCGCCGATCCTGGCCAGGCAGGCCCCGGGGCCAGGACCGGGATGCGCGCGCCCTCCCCCCGGGGCCTGGCTGGGGAAGCCGCGCACACCGATCCCTGGGCCAGGCTCGGCCCGGCAAGGAGGGGTGCTGACGACCACCCCAGTTCAACCCGCAGACCCAAATTTCGGGTTGGGGGGAGGGGGTAAGGGGCACTCCAGACCTCGGCGGCGCAAACGCGGGTAAAAGCAGCCGCTCTGGCCCAGAACGCGGCGACGCCGGCTCCCAGCAGTCTGCGCTGCACGGCGACGGAGAGGGACAGAGGGACAGAGAAGCAAGCAAACGAAGGCAAACGCGCAGGCGGGAGGCCAGGGCCGGCGGGACGAAGCAGGCGGGAAGGGCCAGAGGGAGGCACGACAGAGAGCAAGAGGGGTAAGGGGTTCCACACTGTGTTTTTGTCAGGGTGTTCCCCGACGCCCCCAGACAGGGCAAACTGGGGCCTTCGCGGTTGGGTTGGGTGGTGGTTTAGTGGGTGTTGAGGCGCAGGCGTGAAGGGAGGAGAAGCCCTCCAGCTCCTTGATCTTGGCGCTGCCCTCCACCAGCTCGGCCCGGGCGGGCATCTCGAAGCGCGCGCGGTCGAACCCCGGCCCCAGCCTGCGAGGCGGGGATTTATCCATATCCAGCGGGCAGTGGATACGGATATAGTTTGGCCCCCTGGGGCCCGAATATATCCATATCCACCGCATGTAGAGGTCCCCGAAAATCGATCCTACAGGCGGTGGTCATGTATTAATTCCCCCCTCGAACAGCCGGTCCGCGAGCCCGTAGTCTCTGACCGCCACGGCGACGTCGAAGTCGCTCCAGCCCTTCACGTGCGCCAGCGCCCGCTCGCGCGGCGCCTTCTGGAAGTCGGGCCGCAACCCGCACAGCAGGTCCACCAGCCGGCCGTAGTCCCGCTCGTCAAGCCGCGTCTGGCTCAGCAGCGGGTGGCCGCACAGGCGCCGCAGCCGGTGGAACAGGGTGCGCACGAACTCCCGCCTGGCCTTAGGTCGGGCATGTCATCCTACAGGCAGGTTGTGGAAGAACCATAAAAACTGACAAAAAAAACAAAAGAACTAGGAATAGTCACGAAAAAAAGTCCCCCAGCTATTCTCTTGCTATTTTTAAGTTTTCCCCCTGTACGTAGAGGGACGTGCCCGACTTGAGCCTGGCCTTCAGCGTGTCCCGGCCGCCCCTCTGCGCTGCCGCCCGCGCCCGCGAGACCTCCGCGTCGTACAGCGCCTGCTGCCGGCCGTCGAGCGCGCATCGGAGCGTGTGGCCCTGCTTCGGCGGCAGGTCGGACATTACGTTCCTCCCAGAGATCCAACGCATTGAAAAAATCAAAACGGAGGCTTTTCGCTTATTTCGGCCCCTACGGACCCTCGCCGGGCGTCGGGACCGTCAAAAACGACTCAGGATGAAAAACGAGTCCTGGGGAATGGGTCGAGACTTCCGGGGACCCCGTATTGAAAAAATCACGACATCGGATCTCTGGGCTCCTCTTGGCTGCGGCATCTCATGGGAGCCTCCCATACCATCTCGCCGCCTCCTTCGCGTCGACGCTGCTCGACGCCAAATCGACGCCAAATCGACGCGAGGAGAAAAAGAATGATGGACAGGAGGGGCAGGACGAGGAGAAAGAGACCCCACCTACAGTGGAGGCCAGTCCACAAGAAACCCTACACAAGAAGCCCAGCCCTGAGACCCCAGGACGTCCATCGATTGTTGGGGCGGGAGCGTCACGTATTCCATAGCAAAACCATCGAAGTCCAAGAAACCCAGGGCACCCTGGAGGCAAGCAGGGTATTTATTGGCATGGGTTTCCGCTGTACCATTTTGTCGATTCTTGCGAGTCGACGCTAATCGACGCCAAATCGACGCTCATAGAAGATGGCCGACGCGAAGCGACGCTGAGTCGGCACTGCACCAGTCGATCGCCAAGCGCTGATCGACGCCGACGCTAGTGCACTCTACAGACGGAGCCACGAGAGCATACAAGGCTTGCATGATTTGCTACGGTAGGTTGGTGCGGCGTCGGGCCGCGCGAAGGCTTTCGACACCGCGTCGATCGTTCAACCTTGAACCGATCGCGGCCCCGATCGTTCAAGGTCGAATTCCATCGGGTCCAGTGGCGTCCCCGTGTCCCTCGGCGCTTCCCCGTCGCAGAATTCAACCTTGAACGCCTTCGCTGGCGTCGCCGGCGCGCCAATGCCGCGTGAACCTGCCGTACCGAAGTTCCTCTTGAGGCGCCGCAGGATGAGGGGCGCAGCGCGGGTCTGGAGCGCGCGCAGCGAGCCCGTCTCCACCACCCGCCCCAGCTCCTCCACGACCGCGGACGTGCGCCGGCCCTGGTGAAGGGGCCCGGGGACACACGTCTTCCTGGGAACTGACGATTATCTTAGTGTCTGCGTTTCCTGTCCCCGCCTCGCCTGACCGCGCTGCTCCCCTGGGGCGGCCAGCACGATGGTCAGGAGGTTGGCGAGCTCGCGCAGGGAGTTCTGCACGGGCGTGCCCGTGAGCAGCACGCGACGATCGACACGGATGCCCCGGGTCACGTCGCGGAAGCGGGCGGACTCCGAGTTCTTCATGCAGTGGGCCTCATCGATGACGAGGAAGTCGAAGTGCAGCCTGCCGAAGAAGAACGCCCGATCGTCCCTGCAGTGAAGAACTCCAGCCGTAGTGAGGATCAGCGCACACCTGCCGTCGTGTTCGGCGAAGTACTTATCCGCCAGTTCGCACCTCTCTCGAGCCGAGCCAGCATGATATGTGAACGCCGTCAGATGGGGGCACCACTTCTGAGCCTCGGTTTCCCAGGTGTTTATCACAGAGGCTGGGATCAGGACGAGCGAAGGCCTCACTGGCCTCTGGACGTCCGGCTCGGGCGGCTCCGAGGGCACCTGATCCCCAGTCGAGCGCCCATCACGCCCGACAGATTGCCAGAGGTCCAGGAAAGTCAGCGTCTGCGCTGTCTTGCCCAGCCCCATCTCATCCGCGAGGATGCTGCCAAACCCGCCCTGCGCCTGCGCCAAGAGCCACCGCACGCCGACCTTCTGATACCCCTTCAGGCGGCCGTACGCGGGCGAAAGTCTGGCCAGCCGAGCGTCGTCCTCGTGGCCCTCCCAGTAGTTGAACTTCAAAGCAATGCGCCCCCGCCTGACACTGCGCTCCACTGCGGCCGCCCGCACCTGGGGAAATCAAAAGCTACCGATACCGCTACTCCCCAGACCTCTCCCGGGGTGCGTTCTAACCAGGATTTCGAGGCGAATCCAGCGGTGGCGGCGAGGGCCTCACAGGAGGCCCAAAAAAGGGAAAACGAAGGCAGGGTAGAGGTATGGGTACCTTTTCCTCCTCTGAGCACCCCGCCGGGCCCGCCGAGGGCCGCCGCCGCAGCCTCCCTGGCCCTGGCCGAGAGCTGCGTCAGCGGCCGGCGCTCTGCCCCGGCGCCGCCCCGCGCCCGGGCGCACCCCCGCGGCGGCGGCGCCTGCCGCACGCCCTCCCCGGACTCCTGCAT